TGACATCCGGAAGAGCCTTGGAATACAGCCTTTGCTTCTCCAGATTGAGAAGTCACAGCTGCGACGGCTTCGGCATGTGTTACGAAGGCCTCCAGAAAGGAAGGCTAAGCAACTGTTCCTTGCAAATCCGACCTGCAGAAGGCCCAGGGGACGGCAAAGATTAACTTGATTCAAATATGTGGAATGAGTCTGTTCCAGACTCCAGCTGTCTTTTGCTGAAGCTCAGACTGTGGTACAAAATCGGAAACGTTGGAAGCACTGTCTGACGCGTCTGCCACAGCGACCCGAAAGGAGAAGCGGCGATGGAAGATGAAGATGAAGATGAATTTTTTGATTTTACCGCGGTATCACTTTGAAATGTTTGAAAATGAAGCAAAGGATAAATTAAAAATATGGAATACTCTGGCGGATAAAATCAGAGCAGTGGAAAAGAAAAGAATCAACGAAGGTAATGCTGAGGATGTTGCTTTGTGGAAAGTTTAAAGTGAAAACATATCTACTCATCATGGACAAGTTATGCTAATAATTTGCTCATCCCTTTAAAGCATCTGAAACTGTTCATTCATCATTTGGTTTTCTGGTCAAATTTACAACAATAAATAATGAAGACATTTCAATAAAAATAGTGAAGTGTCAGAAGGCTTATTCAGATGACATCGAGCATTGATTCGAGCCAGAAAATCTTCACTTCAGGAATTTTGTTGGGAATATGATGAATCTGATGAAGCATGAAGCTCTACAAGTTTCTGATATTTAGGCATTTCTAGTAAAATATAATCTGCAATTACGAAATAGCACTACGGATTCACTTGTATTTAATGATAACTAATGCTAATGCTAACTGGAGAGAGAGAAATTTCTCAAAGAATGTGCATAGGTCGACAAAAGAACGACTAAGCAGACTAGCTGTCATGGCAAGTGAAAACGAGAGTCTCAAAAACTTGCAATTTTTTCATCTTTCATGCCGAAATTTGCTTCCAAGAAGTTATGCAAAGCGAATGTTTGAATTTTAATTGCTGTTAGCCAGGTAAATATAAATTTGACTTTTCGCTTCGTTACCTTTTACCCCATTTTGAAAATATTACTGGGAGCCTCACAATATCTGTAACTCCGGGGCTTACAAAATCTTAATCCAGCGCTGACGCGAGGGCACATTTTAGTGTATTCTCCAGACTCTAGCTCTTATGCGGCGTTAATAAAAAATTTCTTAATAAAACATGGTGGGGCAATCAATAACAGACAAGAAGATCACTCTGAACTAGTAGAACATGCAGTTAGGAAGCTGCATGCCATCAACAGGAGTCAAACCAAAACCAGAGATCTTGACACGACCATTACCACTCTATGAATAATGGATTTGGTATCCAATAAAGTCAGTTGCATTAACTGCACTAATGATGACTCCCTTGAGATGAGTCAGCACACCAGTGTTTCAACTGAAGTTCGTCAACGAGACGTCATCATTAAATATGTTTACCGCATGTCTTGAGTCCGCGTTCCACAAAATAAAATGGTATAGAGGATTTTCACTCAGAGATAGATGGCCGCCTAATTTTAGAGTTGTTGACAACATCTTGCTGTTGGAGAAGAAGGAAGTTGAAGTCATGCTATGCGAGTTAGAGTTAGAGAGCAAGAAAGGCAGTCTTTTGATTAACAGGTCGAAAATGATCCGGAGCAAATTCACACAACCACCTACGATGATCTTCAAGGATTATAAAATAGAAGAAATCGCCAAGCATGTTTACTTTGGACGGGTAACCATATCAAAACACTCTTCTGGTCCAGAGGTCGCTAAAATACGTTGTTCGGCGTGGAGTACATACAGAAGAAAGGCTGACATTCTTAAAAACAGAAAGTTTTCAGATGCGGTTAACTGTATTGTATGAAAGCGCAGTATTGCCAACAGCTACACATGGTTGCGAGATGAAAAATAATGCAGGCAAAGGATGAAAAATTGTTAAAGGTGCTGCAGCGGGCAAGTTAAAGAACATTCTAGAAATTTCCAACAAGAACAAACTGCAAAATGAGGAAATAAAAAGATGCACGGGAATGTAGAACATTATATCAGTTTCAAAAGAAAGGAAACGACAATGAACAGGTCAGATCGCATGACTACCGGATGATCGATGGACTTCAACAGCGACGAATTAATACTCAAGAGGCTACAAGCGTCAAATTGGAAGACCTCAACTCAGATAGGACGATGAGTTGAAAGAGGAATATGAAAACATGTGGTGACATTTGGCATTAGATGGACGAGCATCAAGAAAGTGCGTAAGAAATGTCTATGCCATTCTAACCCTCACAGAACAAGTTGATGACGTTAGCAGAGACTACTTTTGCAAGAGTGCTTCCAACTTTGGAACTGTATTTTTGTCCACGTCAACATAATAAGATTACTGTCAGTTGATGAGTAGTAATATTCTAAAACTGAATCCAAAGATATACATTTTCAAATATAAGACGAAACAAATTCAATTTAAAAATAAGTCTAATGTGGTTCAAGACTGCATCAAGCAATTACATAAAGAACCTTAGCAGCACTATAGTTCAGTTTAGATACGGATAAACATACTTGCTGAGTGGAACAGACATCTTCAGCTCTGTTGTCACCCTTAATCACTTTTGTGCACACCATCACCGTGCACTTGAACGTCAGGTCCCGTTCGTCGGCAAATTTGAAGGCGCTGGCGGTAGAGTAGGCTTCTGCAAAGTCGTCTTGGTACTTCACGTCGTCAATAATGGAAGGCTGTACAGAGCAGCCATTTTCGAGGATCGGCACTCTCGACCCTTCTCTGCTTTCTACAGTACAGTGTCGGACTCGAATTCCAAAGATGCCTGAAATCGACGCCTGTACCAACGGTGCAACGGATCAGTGATGCCTACTTGAACCGCCTTGCGGTATGTACCATAGGATTGTCATTGGTTGTCCAACTTCCGCTTGACGCAAGGTGGCCAATGAAACATCCGGCGATCTACCTTCGACGATTTTCATGGCAACGCTTGGCATCTGTGCCGTGCGACCCATTACTTCGGTGATCAAGTCTCTGAAAAATGAAGTACATTAAGTCACATGTAACTCAGTACGGTCGCTCTACAGGCATCACCAGACAAAGATTGTTGAAATAGCT